TTACTGAAAGCTGCCTCGCCAAGACAGATGTGAAATGAAGATAATAGACTTGGAAATTCATGAACGGAACTCATTTAAGTTGTAAAGTCCTGGCTGCATACGTACGTACAAATAGTATGCTACGTAGTCGATACTGAAAAGAAAAGCCTTTTTTTTTAATGTGTGCTGCTTGGCTACGTGCACAGGTTGCGGTGACAACCCTTTTTTTTTTTTTTTTTTTGTGCCAGACAAGAAGGTGAAAAGAGAACCCGCACCAGCCCCAGCGCCAACACCAACTTAAAATTAGCAGCTGTGCAAAAAGCACACCCTAAAGTATTACAGGGCCATGTGCTTATTTTAACCGAAAAGAGTGGCTTTTAAGTCAATAGGAGGTTCTTACTACTTGTAGCCTGGGCTAAATGGCTGCTCCCCAAGAGTCAATCTATACTTTGCACATGATGTCACATAGATAAAAATGGCATGATGGAGGTTTTGCACTGGGCGGAAATCTGGACCTGATGGAAGCAGATGTGATTTTTCCATGTCAACATTATGTTTGGAGCAGCGGACACAGAACGTATGTGTGTTTATTTTCAGTTTGCGCCAAAGTTGGTTCGTTTCCAGGGCATGAGCGCCAAAGAAACACGCATTCCTTTGACCTTTTGCTTCGAGGGCCACGGTTACTTCATTCTTTACATACCTTCAAATTCAAGGATATTTCAGGTTGCGTCGGAGAAGGAAGGTTTTCTCTCTCGGCCGTGACGTCGGCGTTTACTCTGCTCTTTAAAATGGTTTGATTGCTGCAACAGACACATTTGATAAATGAAAATTTGGCTTCAACGTTGCCAAGAGTGTCACGGTTAAATACACAGACACTGTAAATAAGTTATATTACACTGCGTTGTTGGGCGGACAGGGGGCCCTCTTTTCTCCCAATCCTGAGCAGATGAATTTGGAACTCAACTCGTCCATTTCCCCGATGACAAGGACGGCCACGTCTCCATCGCGACCCAGCAGCCAGCTGACATTCTTGCCGTTGGCTGTGAGGAAATAAAACAACAGCGTATTATCTCTCTATAATCGCGGATTTTCACATTTGGGTCCGAAATGGCTTCCCTGCAATCGGGTTCACTGCACTTGCAAATTTACAGACAGACACTTTTTTTTACGGTTTGGGATGGAAACTGTATTCCACGTTGCCGCAGTATGACACAGGGAAATGAATTATAGCTGACAATGTTCCTCAACAGTTGTAGAATTGGATGTTCTAAGACGGGGGTAATGACTTTTTTTGCTCATTTCATTTTTAGAAGAGACAGACGGATCAGGTCATATCGATTTACATTAAACTGAATCGTGCGTGAATAAACTGTTCATTTTATTTCAATATGTAATCAAATTAATACGATGGTTTTTAAATTTTATTAATACTGTTTATTTCCAATACATCAATTAATTATTTAATTGGATACATGAATGATCACATCATAATGATTAGATTTTAGGAACATTTGAATTCATGCAAACAAATATTCCAGGGCGTATCATATGCGAACGCTCAGCATCAGACATGACATCATTTCAAGCGTGTGTCGGCTTCTTTTAATCATAATAATCATCATAATGGAATTAAAACATCATATATTCCCCAAAGTGTCTCCCACTCATTTGGTTTCCAACCTTCAACAGAGACAAAGAGCCGCACTTCCTTTTGGCTGTTAGGCAATTATGAAGCTCGGCGCTGACGTAAGCGCCGTCGGGAACGTGAGCGGCGAAGCAGCTGACGCAGGTACGACAGCGTTAAGTGTTGGTTGTCTTAAAATGAGTCGGCCGCGGTGAACTCGTTTTGCCAGCCGGCCCTGCGGAACACATTCCGGCTGGCCAGGAGCACTACGAAAACACAGTGGTCGGGAAACAAAGCTTGACAAACAAGACGCATACTAGTGTGACAGCTGCAAACTGACGCCTTTGTCAGGTGCGGGGCAGAAGCAGCATGGGAAATTCGAGCCTTGCTGTACGTGACAACTGCAAGGGACTTGGCATCACGGTGACGCGTTTTTCAAAACTTGTCGACAATTGAGATCTGAAGCAATCCTGTCGAAAAGCTTTTGTGCAGATGCACGGGGCGATAGTGTGTTTGTTCAAAGACAAACAATCTCCTTTTTGAGCCCCAAATAATTTTTTCTTCACATGAATTAGTGGGACTAATGTTGGGCACCAATATACAGTTTTTCGGGGTCACACTCTTGACCCTCTCCCTGTAAAACTCATTAAATAGGTGGTTCCAATCTTAGGACCCTCCATTCTAAACATTATTAACTTAACTTTGGCACTGCACGTGCAGCTTTTAAGACAGCCATGATTAGACGGCGATGGTGTCATGCGGTGAATTGAATTAATGCTGCAAAAGAAATTGAAAGTAAAAAAAAAAAAAAAAGCGGATCAGATAGCAATATAAAGTAGAATAGCGTTAGCATAGTAATGCACATTAAGCGGTCAGCAGAAATGCCTTCTTGTTTTCTTTTCACAGTCGGCAAGTTTTAAAGCATGGTATCGACATCTCCAGCACGTAGGTGGAAAAGCAACGACTCGAATCTACTGCGCGAGGAGCAAAAGTTGTGGTTCTCAGTCGCTTGGAGATTAGCATCGCTCGCTAGCTTTGACTTTCTCTTTCAGAGGATCAACTGATAAAATGTGAGTTCAAATGACACTTTGAAAATGATATAGTGAAATCCCAGCTTCGGGTAATTTGGTAGTTAACATAATGACACACGTAGTACCGGAATGTCAACTTCCACAAGGCTTTGTCGACGGATTGTTGGTTATTTAGTGCCAAAAATGACAGAGGCAATTTTCCACTACACGATGGGGACATGGGCCAAGGAAAAACCCAATCATTTTAGCACCGATCTGAACCAAAGTATTTTTTGCTGAGCGCTGCAGTCTTTTTCAGATATTGTCCGTCATCCCCCCTCATGAACCAGGAAGTAGCCAGCTAAGCTAAAACACTGACAAACACACACCAATATGTTCCTCTCATTTTTTTTTCACACTGAGGGCCACTTTTGTTTTGTTTTGGTTTTTTTTCAGTGTGCTTGTGGATCATGTAGCTAACGCACAAAAGCCAAACATGGCCTGCCCGCACAGTCCCACTGGAGTTCACAAGTCCCATGACCAGAAAGGCAGCAAGCTTCCCTATGCGCTTATCAATGAAGGTGATCTCCCCCGACAAGACGAAGCAGAATTCGGTCTTTTGTGTTTCAAACACATACTTTTCCTGTCCACTTCCTGTTTTGCCCCCCCCCTGCTAATTGTTTCGCGGCTTGCCTCGACTTCCTGCTTTACCCGAGAGAGACGAACCGTCCACCATTTTCACAATTAGGAGTAGAGTAGCACTTCATGATATGGGCCTGGAGTTTTCATCCGGGCCTGTTGAGAACAGCGTTGCTCATTCGAGACAACCAGAAAACGTGGCCTTCTTCCTCACTGCGCCCAGGCTGATAAATAGGAAGTGCTTTGTGATTAGTTCCAAAGTGAGAGCTCACATTACTTTATCAGTCACAGTTCATGCACCCGTTTCACACTTGAACCAAATGCATCACGTGTCCCAAACTCTCCTACGCTTTTTTTTTTCTTTTGGAGGGGTCATGATCAAGCGTCATTCCGCACCACATATTTTCCTTCAGCAGAAAGAAAATGCAGACGGGTGAGATTCTGCAGTGTGTCGAACCAGTTTGAGAGCACGTCATCGAGCCTCGTGAGTTGTAGCCTGCTTCTGCCACAATATTGCATTTGTCCACAGACAAGAAGAAAAGAACCACGGGTGACTTCATCCACGATGCTTGTGGGGATTTTTGTGGGTTTTTTTTTTCCTCCTGTCGACATTTTCCCATCAATGTGTCGAAGGGTACAACTTGACTAATATGGAAAAAAGCTTGTCGTATTGTATTGAGTGGTTAGAGTCGCTTGTCGACAATAATCCACGGTGACTCACTTCAAAAAAGACTCTTCATGTTTTTGTAACAGAGCCTTGAGCAATGCGTGTTTTGTACACACCAGCCAGCGTGAACGTTTTGAACATCCGCACAACCCGATGAGAACTTATACAGGAGGTGTATCAAAAAGTTTGCATTTTCCAAAATAATACAACAACAAAAATGCACGAAGACCATGTGATTTCTTTTAGCCAATCACGGTTGTTTGCCAACCTCTTAAGTCTCCTTTGGAGTTATTAGTTAGGATGGACTGGTGATTTTTTTTTTGTATTCTTCACGTACAGCTGACACTTCATCGCGAAGCAACCAACAAAACCCATTTCTTGCAAGGCAGCACGAACATAAAACCGCACTCCTTCCTTTCTCTTTGTTTATGTAGAATAGAAAAAGATGACCAAGAGAACGGGTCAAACAAGTGTCGGGTTTGGCAACCTTGGCTAATGGATGAAATATTTTGAGCAGATTAGTCATGATTAAAATATTTTTAGAATGTGGGTGACCAACGTGGTGCCCACGGACACCAGGTAGCCCCCTACTCCCCCCCGACACATGAGCAGCCTGCGGCCCTGTTCTAAAAATAGCTCAGGGGACACTTATTATTTACAAGGAATGTTGTAGGAGTGATCATTTAAAAACGTCAAGACTGGCAGATATTTATAGAAATAAAATCTTGGTGATTAATTTTTATCAACGAATGCCAATAATTGCTCATTATAACACATCATTATAACTACAGCCCGACCGATTTTTTTTTTCCTAGCCTGATGCTGATTCCAATACCGATTCATCGACCGACTAATTTAAAAAAAAAAAAAAAAAGATCAGGAAATGCAAAATACAATGAATAGAATAACTTCTTCAACAATAAAGATATGACATACGGGCAGAATGTTGGACTGGTTTGAACACTTTATCTATTTCAGAAGTGCGTATCATACTGGTAGCCCTTTGCGTTAATCAGTTGCCAAGAAGTAGCTCTCATTTTCAAAAAGCTTGGTGACCCCGGCGTCATAGTCTGTCTTTAGCCCTCAATTATGTTGATGTCGACATAAGTGCAGTAGGTGACACAAAACTTTTTAAGTAACGTATCACTGCGGACGCAAACCGTCGTGTCAAAACGCGACGTGATACGGATTGCAGTCTTCCCCCCAAAAAGATTTCGGCAAAAGTATCGTTCCCTTAACCAAGATGACGGTACTGCAAACTATAAACTTGTTTAAACCGTCTTACGTGGCTGCATTTGAAACCGCTCACGCGCGTTTAATACGGAGCAGCTGGAGTTTGTCGGGCTCAAGTAAGTTTATCCGCGAAGAAACTTTAAACTGGCCAAATGGATTCGGGATAAACAACTATGCCTGAGTTGGCACGCAGCTGTTGAGATGACAGTGAGCGCTGCTTCAGCTTTAAAGCACAACTTCCCAACCAATCGCTGTGACTCACTACATTATTGTGCTGTGAGAGTTCATCAGGTGTGCTGCGGGAAATGATCCAGGTACACTTAAGTGGAAAATTATTATTGCGACAGATAGAACGATTTTTTTTTCCCCGGGGGTGATACCAATTCTGAGTGTTATTCGTCAAGCTGGACGATGACAGAGATTGCTGGCGGTAAAACAGAAAATGTTGGAATATAGGAAAGTCCAACACTGAACCTGGTCTAAACACCTTAACGCATGTGTTTATGAAAAAAGCTTTTCAGATTTGTGACACGTTTAAAGTTTTTGTTTAAATCTTAAAACAGGAGACAGCTTTGTCTTCAAATTCTTTCACCAAAGTGCAGTACGTTCCCAGGCTCAGCAGCATGTCTTGAAAGGTCATTGAAAACGGCAGCAAATAGCTTCCGGAGGTTTTAGACATTCATTTTCCAGAATGTCAACAGAGGTGATACACTCAAAACAAAAGCGCAGGGAATTCACAGTTTCACTTCAAAGCCGAAAGAACCCAGTTGGAAATTGACCACCTACAGGCAGCTGGATTAAAAGTAAATAAATAAAGGCCGATGCCAGCATACATAAAAATGCAGAGTATCTGCGCTGAGAATCGGCCTCGCCGATAAGAGGTCCATCCGCAATTATTTACAACAAATAGTGTACCACTGGAATGCAATAGAGTTGAGGTCGTGGTTGAGATTTTCTGACCTTTTTTGGGCTTTGTCCTCTCGCCTTCTCGCTCCAGCTTTTCTTCACGCTCTTTCCAGCGTCGTACCTGCTCCTGGCGCATCTTCAGAAACAGCGTCTTTTTCTGGTCCTCGTTGAGAGCCTCCAGCACATCGGGGTCGATGTACATGTCCTTCAGGATCTGCTGCAGCATTGTGGCGGCGGTTTTGGCAGCTTCGACAGCGGGTCAGCGTGGGGGTTCCACCTGGTTGAGGAGGTGCAGGGAGGTAGTTTCTCCTTCCAGAGGTGGATAGTGGTGCTTTTAAAGTTTCATGCTCTCAAAACATCTTGATGTGCCAAAATCCTGAAGGATGCTCCGCTGGATGAACTTCACACAAGGCGAGCGATGATCCTCTTTCACTCATTTGAAGAAGACAGCATAAACTCGCTCTTGTTTGTGGATAGTTTCTCGCAAACGCTGCGACGTCAATTTATTGGCATCGTCGGAGCATCTGTACAAGAAAGAAATATGACAAGCCTTCTAAGACGTCTAATTCCAGTCAGTTACGAGAATCTAAATCCAAACTGACAGACTCAGCCCAGAATGGGAGGAGACTCTTCAGGAATGGAACTGTTTCTGTCATCATCTTGAAAAAGAAAAAAGACAAAAAAAAACAACCCTTCCTTCTTTCCCTTCCCTAAACCGGGCTTCATTCACAACCGAACTCTCACGAGAAGCCACTTCTGATCAAGTATTGGCTTGGGGGAAAAAAAGTGTAAGGAGCATGTCAGTTACTCTTGGCAAGTACATTGAATGGGATCAGTTCACCCCCTTAAATCACAGCAGGGAGGCAAACAATGGCTCCACACACACACAGAAACACACTCACTTTGAGGGAAAGGAAGCTTGTCTCAAGACAGAGAACCGGTGGAGCCCAGATGGTGTCGAGTCAACCAGTTTGGTGTGCGCACATGGAAACCCAGAAAAATGGAACAAGAAAGCAGAAAGGAGCAAACAGAAAGAGGAGCTAAAATGGAGTTTGTTGAGGTACTCACAGTAAGATGTAAACAGCGGCTCCACAACAAGAGTATGCTAAGTAAGCGGAGAGTCAAGAGAGCCTCCTTGTCTTTGTGTATGACTCGGTTGATGACATCACAGCATTCCATGATGTCCCTCCTTCCCTCCTTTTTTGTAACCGCCTCTCTTTCAACTGTCTCTCTCTCTCAAACTGTCTCTCGCATTTTAACTATCTGTCTCACGTTCTCAACACATCAGTCATTGACGTCACAAGACAGGAATTTTGAAAAATACCCAACTTTAATACAAATGATATTATTATCAAACATGATTTTAAAAATGTACATATCATAATTTAAAATATGAAACCGCCGACTTTGAAATCCGTGCCCTCCCCATCCCGTTTCAGAGTTTCTGACGTCATCGCTGCGGTTAGCTATGCGGTCTCCAATGTCCGGAAACGGTAAATTTGTACCCTCTCTTCCTGGCGTTCATGTTGTACCGTATACGTATGGTTAGAAAAGTAGAGACATTGGTGCACAATGCCCCAAAAGCGATGTGCATAATATTAATCTATGCCGGTACGAATTTGTTTTGACTTACTTACGCATTGGCGTGGGCGGGCGAATTGACGGTGGCGCAAAAGAGACAAAAACTGCAGAAAATTTTACAAAATTGTCTTGTCGCTTATTATTCTGAAGTGACGGCTGAGTTGGAGCTTATCCCAATGGACTTTCGGTGCAGCCTGCAGCCTGGAGTGGTCGCACGGCACATACGGACAAACAATACAAAAGTATGCAGTCACATAAAGAATAATCACTTAATCCAACGTGCATCTTTTTGGAATGTGGAAGGAAGCCGGGGAACACCAAGAGAAAAAATTCACAGACACGTGGAGAACTTGCAAACTTAACAAGGAAGGCCAGAGCCGAGATTTTGAACCACTCACCCTCTAAACTGTTAAGAAAATGTGCAAACCAGCCAGATAGTTTGCTGTGCGTGAATACTAGTGTAAATCAAAAAGGCAGTCGACGCATTCCTGATTCTTACTCACCTCAAAGACAATCTCACAAACATCATAGAAAATCCAATATTTGCGTGTGAAGCAAGTAAGTTCTACACCCGTCTTTACAATATTTCTCATCATGCGTGATTGGTTTCTGTTCCTCGTTTCATCGCTTAACACCTTTTTTTTTTTAATGGGCGTTATTTATAAACAAACAGCGCTCTCTAGTGGCCAATGCAATAAAAGCCGATTTGGATTACGTCACCCCAAAAGACAAAGCATGCTGCTGAACATGTTGCAGGAGCAGTAACGACTTGGGGACATGGAAGTAACGTTTCTTTTCATTCTAATGTGTTATTACAAAGACAGCTATGAGCTCGCATCAATGCAGCATCGGTTGTGTCACGCTGTATTGATCGAAGTGATCTCCTAAAAGGCCTTGCAAGTTGGTATTTGAGTAACAGAACTTACCTCAGTAGCATATTTACTATTGGTGCACTATTTTTACGCCTTCAAGGCACAAATAACTTTGTAGGGCAATGTAAAGTGATAAACGACAGTTTGGTGGGGGCGGGGGTTGTGTTATGTATGCCCAACCCAAATTGTAATCAGCGCATGAGCTGTAAAATTCTTCGAGCAAAATTACAATCTCCAACTTTGCAGGTTCTGTTAGCTCTTCGAATGGTGTTCTGCACAGGAATGAAAAGAGCAACATCATGCGGATCAGAGATCAATGCTTTATTTTACAGCCTGTTATGACACATACAGTACTAGAATTATCTATAAGACGACGACACAAGTAATTATCAGGTGTTTTGTCACCAATTTCGCATTTTAAGGCTGTAAAATTAAGCTTTAGTCATTAGTATTGATGCAAATGTCAGATGGTGTGGACAAATACTACATCAAAATCAAACATACTTTTCCCCCCCATCAGTGAATAGTTGACATTTTGGTATTTTTCTTTCGACAAGAAACATGAAAATACATTTATTTTGAATATAGATTCTCTTTATCGGGCAAAATTAAACTCAAAAATTTTTTGTCAAATATACATACACTATATTTCATGTATCAAAACAAAGATGAAATAGATAATGACATTCTCGAGATATAAGTATTGGGTGTTTTACAACCTACATGGGAAAGCAAAGTGCCACACACAACAACCACTGAAGACAGTTCACCAAACTTGAAATGAAGACTAGACTCAAGCACCTTGTCTTAGCTTAAAGCTAAAATGGAGATTTCAGTTTACAATTGTTTTTCATTCAAACTTTTTTTTTTTTAGGTTCCTTCAATGCTTGTTGCCATTCTGGCAGTGGCGTTTGTTGACGTTATCGTGAACTGCTTTTGACCAAGTGGCTGTTATGACCTTCATTTGACCTCCATTCCCCTCCAGGATGGAGGGTTTTTTTTTTTTTTTTTAGTGCAAATAGCGGGTTACAACTCCCTCACTTGAAACAAACATGGAATTCAGCCACATCTTTTCAAATAGTAATTATATATTTTAATTGACATACATATATTGCCACAATTGGCACATACGATATTGCACAGTCATGAAATGTTGCACATAAAAAATATATATTTTTTTTTGTGGGCGAAAACATTCCAGAAGTTACAAATAAAGTGGAATAACGCTGAGAAGATAAAAACTAAAAAAAAAAATGCGTGCTGCTCCCCATCAACTGAGCTATGGGCAACATACGACTACCTAAAAGCCAGGCGGGTGAAGGTGGAGGGGCGGCGATGGAGCCTTGTCAACAACTATTTCCAATCCTTTCAGCCCATTGCTCTTCCTACTATATGTGCTTGGTGCTAACTCCTCTGCATCGTCTTGCATCAAGGTGAACCCCTCCCTCCCCTTCCATGTTTACATGTAGGCCGATACCTGGATGGCTGGGGAATAGTGTTAAGCGGCGGGAATAAGTGTTAAGCAGTGATGAAGGTTTAGGGAAGGAAGGAAGGAAGGAAGGACAATGCCTTGTTTTAGCACCACGAGTCTGGGCCGAGACAAAAAAAAAAAAAAAAAAAAAAAAAAAAAAAAATGGAAGAAAAACGGTCATCGAAAAGAAGCCAAACTTGCGATCCAAAGCACCAGGCCAGCGTGTAAGCATGCGGAGTGTGTAAGGCACCAGGTTGTTTTATATGCTGAAGAGGACGCTCCCTAGTAAGCTTTTACCATGTATAGGTGGTCAAGGACAGTCGTCTAGTTTGCTGGTTTCCAGTCAAATCTAAACATCACGGAAGCAAACACTGAACTCAATGCTGAGGTAACTAGATCTGATTGTTGCCAGTTTCTCTTAACGTGACTGGCAAAGAGTTTATAAAACTGCTATCACACATCTATGAGATGCGACAGAACTGGACAAGAGCCAGTCGGTTTTTTTTCCGTGTGGCAGCCCGAGTATATCATCACCCCCCCCCAGGAAGATGTGGGCCAGCTGAAATGAAATATTTGACTTTTTTTTTTCTAAACACAAATACTGCAGATAGCCGTAACAGAAAATCTAACATTTATCTGCCTTTGTAAATACCAATTGAAGTTATTTAACTTAAAAAAAAAAACAACAAAAAAAATGTCCCAAGATTCACTCCCACTTTTTCCTGTTCATTTTAGGTACCATGCAGACAGATGTGAAGGCATCAGCGTTTATTAGGTTAGCCGTTGATTCAACTCAGCTTATCTATAGCAAGGTTCTCAAAAACAAAACTAATCAAGTTCCAATCAGCGGCAGCTTCAGCCACTGGTGACATTTTATCAGCTCGGACTTTGGCCTGTTTCGGATCATCACCTTCAACTTGAAAGTCGTACGACTAACTGCAGTTTCACGAAAAAGCGCCCCGCGAGTCAATTGGCAATGAATGGGGATGCTTAGAAATAAAAGCTTTGTCTAAGCTAACAAGTACTGATGGCCTCACGTCTGCTCAAAAAAAAAAAAACCCCGCAAGAAGCTTATGTTGTTTTTTGGAACACTATTCTGTGGCAAGAATTGCGTTTAACAGGGGCGGAAGTGAACGATGACGTCAAGTTTCACTCCCCTGGTGGTAGGACGTCATTCCCATGTTACGACTTTGCCTGATCGTACAAAGGCAGAAAAATGCCAGCTTTTACAGGCAGTCCTCGATGGACTTCACAGAACCAGAACTGAACCCCATCAGGTAGAGCGCATGCGGTCATAGAACTGGACCCTTAAGCCAGGCGTACCCCTCCACACCCACCTCACTTAAGGGCTCCCCGGGTAGTGTGATGGTACAACATCGTCAAGCTTTTGGATGGAGATCACTCAGTCCTCAAGGAGTTGAACTTTCATGCAATACAGGCAAAAATATGGAAGGGTCCTTGAGACAATTATTTCGGGAGACCAACGCAATTGACTTTTTTTAAGTGCAGACAAAACATGCAGCGACAGCACACCTTAATTGGCACCATTGAGACATTTCGACGTTGCGGCCAATTGTTCATTTCTCTGCATTTGCTACATGTTATTACTATGCATTGAGTACCTTTGAACCCGACACATCGCATTGACGACGACACACCAACGGCAGTCTAATAAAACCATTTGCATGGCAACAATTTCAACTGACAAAATTTGCTTCTTCAAATTCCTCGGTCAACATATGAAGAACCACTGACCAGTATCGATTTGATTTTGATGCAATGCATATTGCACGAGAGTGAGAGAGCGAGACAGCACATGTTCCTTTTGAAAAACCGCATGACATCTAACCAGTTTCCAAAGCAGGCCTAGCCCTCATTTGTGTGTAAACACATTTCTGGTCACAGGTACAGAAGATGGCGATTACACGTGACCCCTTTTTTTTTTGTTTGTTTGTTTTACAAACCTTCTGAATTTTGGTTTTGAAAAAAAAATCTCACTTGTGCTGAAGTTATTAGCTTACATGAAAAGGAAATGCTTGCTCTCAGATCCCAACATTGCAAACACTTTTTTTTTGTTTGTTTTTAGCTTTCAGTGGTACAAAAAGTTGTTTTACTCAGTTAACAAGGGAAATAAAGACTCCATATTGTTTGTCAAGTAGGAAACAATGTTCATACAGGTTATTACTTTTGTTTAGCAGCCAGTTACTGTATTAATGGTGGATAAGAGTGGGCTAACATCCAGCGATGAGTGACAACATGTCAGAACTGTCAGCTTGTGGTGGGTTCTTATATTGTGGGTGATGCTCCCTTGGAGTTAAACAGTTACAGTTAGATTTCTTTCTTCTATACAGTAGAGTTGATGTTAGCTTTCTTGTTTTCATGACGATCTCAATCCTCGTCCCCGTCGTCCGCCTGTACCTCTTCCTCCTCCTCCGCCTCCTCCTCTTCCTCCTCCAGGTCGCACGCTCGCTTCTCCCGCTGCTTCTCCTGGATCTTCTTCATCTCGTCGGCGTATTTACAGAACGTGTTCCCGAACTTGGACCACACTTTGTAGGGCACCGTGATCGAGTTGCGGTACGTCGGCTTCACGTCGCTTACCCGCATGAACACGCCGTACTTGTTGGAGCCCACGTCGAAGAAGAAGCGCTTGTTGTCCACAGTCAATGACGAGCCTTCGGGCAGCTCCGCGGGCTCTTCCTCCACCCCGTAATCGTCAATAAGTTTGGCCAAAGCGTCGCGAAACTCGATAAGTCCTTGGGCCGGGAGCGCGATGGTCTGGCCCTGCGTGGACCCCAAGCCTGGTCCCCGGTTGACGGTCTGCCGGACCCTCAAGAACCGTCCCCTCTGGTTCTCCTTTAGATCCATGTAGTACTTCCGATTCTCCCGCACCAGGAACTCGCTCTTCAGCGCCCGCCGCGGCTCGTCCTGCACCATGCCCGGGTTGCTGGGACCTAGCTGGGCGTAGTGCTCGATGAAGTCCCCCAAGTAGTCGCGGAACTCGACTGCCACGGACATGGAAAGAGTGAGGCGACTCTTGTTGCCACCGGCCCCGACTTCGGCTATCTTCAAGAAGCGGCCTTTGGCGTTCTGCTTTACGTCCAAATAGAAGCGTTTGTTTTGGATGTCAACCCGCTTGGACGCCAGCTCCTGAGTCTCGTGCTGGAGGCCGGAAGCCGAGCCCGCCCCTCCCGCTGCCGAGTGCATGGAACCGTAGCCTGGGCCCGTGGCTGCTCCTCCCTGCTCACTTTCACTGTCTCTATCCGCCATGATGCTGGCTGCCTGCCTGCCTGCCTGCCTGCCTTCTCCCTCAGTCGAAACCGCAAACACTCGACCAGTCACAGTCAACGACGCTGCTCTCGCGAGATCTGCCGAGAGGTACACATAAGAGAGAGCGAGAGAGAGAGATTAGCGTTCGGAGACGTCAGTTTTACTATACACAGTGGCCGCCTTGAGCTGGTTAGTTTGTTGCTGGGATGCGTAAGCGCGACGGCCATCTTTAATGTGGCGGCTTCGATTTCCATCCTCACTAAGGTCGTGTTTGGAGTCTATCCCAGTTATTATTGGGCAAGAGGTGGTCAACCTCACATTCACACTTGGGGACAACTTAGAATTTTCAATGAATCTCAAATGTACGTTTATGGAATGTGCAGGCAGAGTACCTGAAGAAACCCCACGCAGCACGCGGAGAACAAACACAATCCACACAGGAGGTGTGGAGTGCGCATGCTGAAGACCAGAAATTAACACTGCAGTATGGTAAACCGTTTGAGCATGCATTCAATATCTCTGATGTCTACCTTAAGGTCAATGTATTAATTACGCTGTCCGGCCTCACGAGCAGGACATTTCAGTGCACCTACTACAACTTGGGTTCACGACTTGCAGTGTTTACAACCTTTATTAAGCTAAGGTACATAATATTCCCTTTGAAAATTTCTCACATTACACCACTGAACAAAAATGTCACAAGTGGATTCACCAATGTATTATTTACCTTTTGTGAACCAGTGGAAGAGCATTTAATTGTTCTACCTGTCATCATACATTGCGGAGATATTCACTAGAACTAACCGAGAACAATTTTAAGTAACCTTGTTACTAGGACGTCATTGTTCTACAAGCCCGCTGATTTGTCTTACCAGTGAGCATGTTACATATTTATAAGACATTTCACCATGATGGTACACATACTTTGGATGGCAACAACAGGAGCTTTCACTGACAGCAGCAATGTCACAGTAAAAATACCTTACAAGTCATTTCACCAAGTCAGAGATGATGAATTCAGTCTCAATTATCAGGCAGGCTTACTATCACATCCGTGCAATTACACCCTCTGGGGTAGGCCTATATCTGGTGGTGAGACCTCAAGCCTATATCTGTCATTCTTTAGTACACTTACAAGCACCAAAAGAATGTCACCTTCAACATGGCAGCGACGTTTACGTATGATTCTGCGCCACGGCGAAATCTATTTAACTTACGCTCTATGTTTAGCGTTAGCCACTGAAATGTCAGCTGACATACTCCAGAGTGGAACTTTAAAGATGGCTACGGCACAGATTAACTGTAAGTGTCAACTTGTACTCTCATTTAATGAGCGTTGTCTTGATGCTGCTGTCGAATAATATCCTCGAGTTGCCACCGTGTCGAGTGATTTAACGGACGCTTTTCAACCGACGGCTCCATCTATGGCTAACCAGGAACGAGGTGAATTACGCCAACTACCTTCACGCTACAAGTGCGGGATGCTTAAAATTGCTGACATTTGTCGGGAAAATGCGTTGTTTACCACTGACCTTAGCTACAAAGTGGCTAAATCCTGCTTAACAAATCCAAGCAACGTAGCTTCCCCAGCTATGTCAGAACGCACAGTTGACAGTGCAGCAACCGCACGGCGCGACATAAGTTACGTAAAACAATGTGACAGCGAGAAATAAGACCGAACATCCTACCTTAGTTTGCCACTTAGCAAGCTAAATTTCCTGCCACACACACCAAGGCGCGTTGAACGTCTGTCGCCGCGAGTGATTCCGTGGCAAATGCACGCACCTTTTCATCTTAGAGACGAAGTGCTCTTGCATAAGTGTCTTGTGAATGTGACGTTAGTTCTACGTGTGTTTCTTTTTAGTGTGTGAGCAGCGCGACGTGGACTCACAGAGGAGGTCTTGCAAGTGCACGCGCCCTGGCCTCTTCAAAGGGGGAGAAAAAAACTAACAAACACGCATTTCATTCATTGGTTCTTCACCTATTTGTTTTTGGGTCAACTGTATTTCAGGCCGCATGGAAAATAAAGTTATGTATACCGACAGTGTTCCTAAAATGCAATTTCGTTTCCATAATAGCCTGTCATATCTGAACCTTTTTGGTAAACAAGAAAACACTACAGCAACAATAACAAATTAAGCACCGCCCTCCTACCATCACCCCCCACCCATTAAAAAAATCCAGGGTTCTCGATTCAGTCTTTGCTGATTTCCCCGACCTGTAAGACTGAGAGAGACATCAAGAAAATACACAACTTTGAACATTTGCGGTTTACGTTGCTATTGTGACAGTCCGGTAAAAATGACTTTGGCAAAAATGCTATGAGGCTAACAATATTGAATGACTTGTGAAATAAAATCGTAACCACCATAACTGTTCATGAATACGAATTCAAATTTGATTAAAAAGCGTTTTTTTTTGATGAGATATTGCGACGGGGCTTTTAATTTCAGGACAACTGTCGTTAAAAACATTTAGCATCTTGTAAAAGCCTGTCTACCGGAAAACATCATAACCACAATAACTGTTCACAGGTTCAAATTAAAGTTAAAAAAAAAAACATTGGACTACGATAAATATCAACAAAATATTTTACTTACCATTGATTATTCTTCGATCAGACGGAAACCGACTGGCGCGAGACACACTTGGGACTCGAAGGGCCCTGATTTGGTGATTTATCGGGGAATGGGACCAGTTGAAAATCCGAAATTATTCATTCTAAATCACTTTTCAAATGACATGGATAACATTAACCGAGTAGCACAATTGCCAAAGTCAGTTTTTGAGCTTTTTTTTTTTTTTTTGAAAACAAGAAACAACACCTGTGATTTTATTTGGACGTGGCTGAGCAAGCAAGCAAGCGCGCACGCACAATGATCTTTTCTTTTCGTGTTGATATTGTGACCGTTAAAAATGACACGAGCGGGAATGCTAAATGCTTAAGACGGAAGGTAAGTGGAATTTAACCGATTTTACATATGCGCATGTCGGTTTATTTTCAGTCCAATTTGATGTATACCCATGACCTATTTGTGTTTATTTTCAGACTGAAAAATATGTCCTTATTGCAAGGATGCATAAAATAAATATCTACAGTGAAATACGTATTCATTCGCATAGCGTCAAAGAAGGCAAGCCTCTGATATCATATTGTGGGTTGTACAAAACAAAAAAAAAAATCTAGATAATGTCATTTTAACGAATAACTTATTTTTCTTCCTCGCACTGGGGCTTCGCATTTGCCTACTGAGTTACAGTATTAATCTGGCATTTTCTGTTTGCATTTAAAACATTGTATCAGCATTGTGCGAATGTATCACCAATTATTTGGAGCGTGGATCCACTTTCAAATTCTCTCTTCTAGTTACTTTTTTTAAATTCGTATTATGAGCATGCCTATAGTTAAGTGACGCCCCCGGCCGGCCCCATTAAAAAAACAAAACAAAAAAAAAAAACTAAAGTAATCGTCGACAGGCCAGACTTTTGAGGGAAATAGAAGTTACGCTCGTTTCTTTTTTAACTTCCATTGTATGATCGAAATGTTTTTTTTTTCTTCCATCTTCCATGACAGCGTTCATGTACGTGCGAATGGATTTGTCCAATCTTAAGGAACAGTGGCCGCCCCGCCCGGAGTATCATCGACAGGCCAGAATGTACATTAATCCTGTCATGAAGGCATGCTTTCTTTCTACTTTTATTTATTTTTTTAATATGTATGTACAGTGAAACATTTTACGTTGGTGATATTTACAAAATGAAAAAAAAATGTCCTCACATGTACTCTTAAAAAAAATTAAATAAAACGACTTCTCCCCTCAACAATTTTGTATGAATGGGTTAGAATTGGAGTCATTATTTGCAATTTTGAATGCTAGTGTCTTGTCTGTTATGTGATTAAAAAAGGCTTGACAAATGAAAAAGCGTAATGAATAATAATAATAAACGACATTCGTTAGCATTCTCAGTATGTCCCATAACAACATTTAAAATTAAACGCACAGTTCAACCACATGCTGTAGCGACTATAATGCAAAGACAACTTAATTTTTAATGTAAACATGCTCAATTGAAAATGGATTATATTGAGTTGAAACATTTGGCAGTAATGAAAAAATAAAAATGTATGTATTGGTCAGAAAGAAAAATAAACGGTATTCAGGAACAGTTTATGTATTACAAATAACATGTTGTATATTGTTGATCTTAAGGCCTGAACAAGACTTAAAATTCCTATCTCATTTTTTTTTCATTAGAGGTCATTCTTATTTTTCGATTTATTATTGCGATCCACACAGACTTGTATTAATAGACCGATGACGTCTCTGCTTTGTTGCAAGTCAATCAACTCTGCTGACTTCACAAAGGTTTGTATATACAGTACCACATTAGAAGAGTCTAAAAAAAATCTAAAATGGACAATCTCAACCTTTCATTCCATATGGTTGATGAAAGCAAAACTGACCGTCGTTCGACATTTTTAGTGAGCAATTTTTTTTTTCAAAACTTAATCTTTATGCTGCATTTTTTTAGGACATTTAATTGAGTTGGCTTGGTTTAAAATATCCATTCCAATGACAAAGCAGAAAGCATAACGCGCACCCGAATTTTTGCGGGGGAGTGGGGTGCCCCTCCCCAGCAAAAAAAAAGAAAAAAGATAAATCGAGTAATTTCGATCTATTGGTGCTATTTTCGTATTTTCGTCGATTTTCGACTTTTCCATTTGCTATTATATCAGCAACGTCCCGCCACACGTGTGTCACACCCACGACGACTTTGGCTCAAGGCAGCAGCAAAGTTTGTCATAAATACCACGCGGGAATGCTGCATCTGCGTGGGCTCACCAGACGTGCCACACGGACGTAGATCGGTGGTGGGTGAACTCTCCAAAGCCTGACATGCGAGGGTGCACATTAGGACGCTTTCTTAAAGGCCACGGCGCAGTTTAATTGCATTGGCATTGCAATCAAGCGCATTTCCTCCCGTGCTGTCTCTTCTTACCAGTTCGTAAGGCCTCAATGCATCGACGGCGTGCGGCGGACGAGCTGACAGGACAAGCCCCACCTGAGGGCCTCTCGCTCGGGGATCGCTTGGTCGGACGCGTACGTCTGCTGGAACACACCTCCCAAGATGGACCAGCAACGGCGAGTCGTGGCACAGAGAGCGACTCACGCACCAGTAGGCAGGCGCTGTACGCTCCTTCCCGTGACGTCACCACGCACTTCACGCCATCGCAGGGTTCTGGCGCCCTCTCCTGGTTACGTTATGTAATTGCAGCATCACCTCTTGAATTCACAGGTATGGACACATGTAAATGCGATGGATTTGGGTCAAACCTTTTGTTTATCCATGTTTACTGTCATAGCTTGCAGAACTGTCCTCAGTCATATTTTATGACCGACATGTAGAAACGTGAGATGTCACATACACAGTGTTTGAAAGAATATTTCATACAACCACAATATTGAATACGCTACTCGATTGATAGCTCTGTGATAGTAGCATCTGAAATGGATTGTTACTGTCTTTCGTAAGTACAGAATTAACAAAGTCGTTATAACAACTATTTCAAATCTGTGGATAATTTACAACCCGACTTGCATGTTTTTGTCATGTGGGAGGAAGCCCATGCAAGCATGGAGATGAGGTGTATGAGCATCTCTATAAAGTCGTACGCAGTAGAATTATAACGGCGATGATTTTGTATGAGGATGGCCTACTTGAGTGAAATGCTGCTCACCTGTTGGTGTTCTCAATCAAACACCTGCTCTGCATTCACGATGCTATACAAGCTCTGGCCAATAGATGTCCCACTTTCAGGGTCTTGACAGGGACAAGTGTGCATTTGCTCAAACCACACCACCTACATCCGAAGTCTTAGACTCCACATATCGAAAGGAGAGCCGTTTGTCCCCCAGAGTTTTGAGTTAATACGTATTAAGATTCTCTAAGCATGTTTTAAAGTTTCCAACTGTTGTAGTTCTTTAGCATCTGTTGTAAAAGCTCTTTCATCAATGCTGAAAAAGTCATGGCAGCGCATGGTTTAAGATCTCTGTTGAGCGCCCCTAATACTCTTTGTTTCGGGCTCAGGACTGTTAGCGATGTCAAACTACATCACGAACCACCTTCCAGGACCTGAGCTTGGGAGGAGTGAGGAGATGGAACCTCCGCCGGCTGCATGCACACCTCCCATCCTGCATTCTTGTGTGACTCTCCCCAATTCCCCCCACCCTCCTCCTTTTGGCAATCTGGTCCATTTTCTGTGGGTCTGTGGAGAGCGGGGGGAGGCGGAGAGAGCCGCGGTGGAAGGCGGCGAGCAGGACCACAATCATGTTTTAATCCTGGGAATCAAACCTGTGCTTTTTTTCCGGATGCTTCTGAGACTCGAACGACCGCAACTTGTGGGCTCACTGCAGCATTTTGGCGTCTTTTGTTGCTTCCGAATCCGCGGCACTACCCCCCCTTACTGCAATATTTGGGCAAAGATAAGAGCGTCAAGGCTGCCATGGCAGCATAGGAGGGGGCATCCTCAGCCAATTCCTCGTCTATGATGCCTTATTGCTCATATTGTTCCGATTAGACTGGATTTGGGAGTCGGCATCCTTGTATGTCGCACCGCTGCACGCCACCGACCCGTTGGAATTAAACGGGGATCAAGCAGCGGATCCCGATGGCATGGACACTTGTGCGAGGTCCGCCGCGCTGCCGAGCCACTGGAGCCCTCACGCCGTCTCCTCCTCCTCAGCCAGCCCAGCTCCGTCGCCATCGCCCCGCAGCCCCGAGAGCCCCTCCGCCGCCGCCGCCGTCGCCGCCACCGCCGCACCGCCAGCAGCCACTCACTAGCCACAGCAGGCGGCATGAGGCTTGAGTCGCTCGCATCTCTATCCATGCTGCTCATCGGGGTCTCATTCGCCTGCTACCCCCCGACTTCGGATTCCCTGCAGGACCGGGCGTACAGGTCGGCCGTGGTGATCGAGGGCAAGGTGCAGTCAACGCCGGGGAACGCCTCCGCCGAGTTTCCGCCGCAGCCCGGCGTGCACGTCCAAGTGCTGGACGTGTGGCCCCTCCACAGCGGGGGGCTGGAGCCCGAACAGCTCGTCACCGTGCTGGGGGAGTTCGGGTCGGAGGCTCCGTGCGCCGACGTGCAGAAGAACCGCAAGTACATCTTTTTCATGGAGCCCACCGAGGCTCCGCTGGTCTACAAGGCTTCATTCGCACCCCTGGACGCAAGCGGGAAGAGTCTCAAGAAGGACGTTGGCAAGATTCTGTGTGAGGACTGCGGTAAGTGGGCTCGTGTATTGTGGATTACCGGCGAACCCGGAAGAAAGGCATACTAGCATCGAGTTAGGTGCTTCGTGGGTAACATCTGTTGTATACTTTAATTTTAGCTCCCATATGACCAATGTATAGTTTGGATTCCGTGGGCAGCCCATATGTGCATTCGGGGCGTCTATGCAGCAATTTTCGACAACTCTCGCAGGCTCCCATAGCCCACATGATCAATCAAACTCTCTTTCGCTCTGCTCAGCTGCATCACACATGCGCCTCGCACTGTTGCTTGTGTGCAATTGCACTTTGTGCGTGTCCAACTATCTGCATCCTGCATCCCCCCCCCTCCCCCCCCCCGCCACTCTTCCACCGTGTAGCATCCACTGCATAGTTTTAATACTCCAAATGTCCTCACGCACATTGCTCCTCTCTGACCTTGCAGTCCTGTAGGACACATTGCTGTCCTAATTGGGCTTGGCCCCCCGTTTCAGCACCAGGGACAGAGGCCGGTAGCACGATCACGTTGCTCCAAGCAAATTGCTTCCGAGGCTATATTTAGGTTCACACCCGCTTTAATGCTAGCTGTAATAGCATTCACTTGGACATGGCTCGGTTTTGTCAAAGCGTGTTGTTGAACTGGGAAAGGAGACAGAAGGCGCAGCTTACTTGCAGCGTGTGTTGCTGCTGTACTTTCCTGAAATGAGGTCTACTTAACCACATTTCAACTACTCGACTCTTTTGTTTGGAACATATGTGCCCTCTCCAGCTTCAAGCAGTGTTGAAAATGGATGGATGAATGCTCATACTAATTGTTTCGTGGGTATTTGTCTTTCTTTCTTGTGCCTAGTATTTTCAAAATAAAGGGTCACAACGGATACATTTTGGTGCATTTGGTCTGCGTGAGCAGCAATTAGCAAGCCTGCTTCACAGTGGAGAGAGGTTCAAATCTTGTCCAAGCGGTGTAAAAAGTGGACGGATCAGTCTTTTGTGTTTTAGTTTTCAAGTTGTAGAACAAGAGAATTTGCCCATGTGGTCAACCGATGTAATTTGAGTGTGTATCGTTTCATTGCTGCTCGGCTTGTCGTACAAGAGAAAATCAAAGCTGAGTGATTTTGCTGGGTTAAGCGGCCTATTGATTAAACTCAACACGCTGCTGCTACTGATTGCACGAGGAAGCCCCAAAATAGATTCATTTATATGCAAGCGTGCGTGTAGCATACAGTAGGTGCGCATTTTATTTTGGTTTACAAATTGTTTGGTTTCAGAAAACAGCCTTCTGCCAGCGAGCGCGTGGCAACCTCGCAGTGACGTCTCCATACACGCACTGTACCCGTGCTCCTCGGCAGGGTAAAACAAGTCTCGACTATTCATATTCTAGCGACAGGTCCCGGGACTGGGTCTCAAACAGCTACTTGTACTTGTCACAGGGACATCTGCAAAGGCTTGTAACATCGTATGAGAATGGGAGAATGTGAGGCAGCTCCTCTTGTTACCTTTCATGGTTCCGGGCAATTAAAAAGTGCATGTCGTTAAAAAAAAAAAAAAAAAGTCGCATCCTGACATCATCTTGCATAGTCATTTTGACTTGGTGCTTAAGAACATAATGTGCCCTGTCCCGCTGCCTTTTTAAATTCTTAAATCCTCTTAGCATGAACCCACGAGACATAAATGCTCCCCTTTTCTCCCTTTTGCCACACTCACTTCATTGCCCCGCCACTTTAACTCATGTCCTAATTAGAGAGGTAACATTAAGTGAACCTTATTATCGCCTCAAAAGTCCCAACAGCATCTTTTTCTGAACAGTGAATATTGTCAGGAATACGTTCAGAGTCTCCTCATGTCTGTTTTTCCTCCTATTGTTTTGTTTTTGTTACCCGACTGCAGCGAGAACCAGCCCATTGTTCGTGAGAGGCCTTTATTTATACAAAACATTTTCATAATAGTACGATCATGCTTTGAAATATGAGCAACCTTAAAGTCCGTTTAGCTTAATACTAATAAAAAAAAAAATGCATCAAGCCAAAGACGGGCTCATCAATAGCATTGAGGTCGTGTTTTAAGCAACGGGTCTTTAAACACAAACAGACAGTGTAAAAATTGAGAGATAATACGACATTCCATCCAGTCATATATTCTTTCTCCTCTGAAAAGAATGACTAATATTCCTGCGATTTACTGAGGAGGTTAGGAAATACAGGATGTGAATCCAGAGTGGTGTCATGTCTCCCCTTAATCCCTTGCAATAATGTTCTTATGTAAAAATCGTTATAAAGTCGACCGCAACAGCACAGCCCAGACGTATCACAGAGGAGCTTATCTCTTGTGTAAGTCATTACTTCACTCCCCGTGCTGAACTTTCTCTTCTCCCTTGTCAGGACATTTCATGACAACACCATTCCCAAAGTGAGGCAAACAGTTTGTCCCCTGACGGCCTTTATTCCTAACCAATATCTCAATTATGATTTGTTATCATTATGCCTCTTTTCCTTTTTTTTTTTTTTTTTTGGAAGGAGCCGAGGGGATTATCAACAGAACATACGTGGCCTTCCATTTTACCCAGACCCAAACATGAAATCCAGACTCCACTTAGTGCTCAGCCTTGACGCTCGTATTTTCCCCCCTTGTGCGGGGTTACACGTGCTTCCCCAGTGTGTTCATCATGGGACTGTATGCACTGCATGGTTCTCAATATGATACCCTTGTTGTTGTTGTCTAACTCCTTAGGGCTGTTGAGATCCAGGTGCTCTCCTCGCAGCATTGGAAAAACAAAGTGCACGCAGCAAATTCATTCCAAAACAAAAATCTGTTGTTGTGACCTGATCCACTCACCGGCTACTTGCGCAGTAAAATTAAATGTATTTTATGCATGCTGGGAAACAAAAAACTGGCAACTCTGAGTACAGTATGCTTACTATTGTGCTTGTAGTTTAACCGCACTGTACGTAAGGAGAGCTACAGTGGATGTAAAAAGTCTACACACCCCTGTTTGAATATCAGTTTTTTTGGTGATATAAAAATAAAATGAGACCATCTTTTAAAATATGGTCATCATATTTTAAAAAAAAAAACATTACTGTGGATCGCCTTTTCAGTTGTTCATTATCAGATGAATAGCTCTCTGACAACGTCAGCCAAATCTGCTCATCTTTTGTAAAAGCAACATTTCGATACAGCTGCTTTCTTGGCTCTCATCAACGGTGTCTGATCTAAAACAATGCCGCAGTTCCAGAGTGTCAATGACATGTAGGACAACAAAGTCAAAATACTGCAAAATGCTATTTAGTCTGGCATATTCCCTCTAGGCTTTGCTAATTTACAAGTCTGCCAAGTGACACACACGTGGTTACTTCCAACCCCCCATTTTCCCCCTCCAGACCCTGTGGGGAAGACATACTAGCCTACTTTTTTGCACCGAATGTGTGTGTGCGCACACAGGTGCGAGCACTGACTCACATTTTCTGCCCCCCCCCCCCCAAATAGCACTGAGCATCCGCTACACCAGCATCATACTGACAATTAACTGCACAAATCATCATGATTTATCCCGCGGCTCACGAGAGCTACTTCTTTAAAGGGGAGTCGTGGATGAGTTCAAAAGCGTCGTCCCGCCCTCCGCCCTCACAAATCTGTCTCGTGGTCGCAGCTGCCGAGCCAAGGTGTTAAGACGAGCAGACGTTGGTCACCACCCCCCGAGCTGAGTGACGTTATCCGAATCGAGAGCGCTCCTTCGAAAACTGTGGACGCGGAAGACGAGTGACACACGCCGCTTGCGCCGTGTGGCCTTGTGAGCTCTCCTACAAGCCCACAAGGTTATCTGGCAAGGAGTATGAATCAACACTACATCTGCAGATTGCCCATTATCCTCTAAATATTACACTGAAGGGCAATTTCGCCAACAGTGGTCGATGGTGACAAAGGTGCTCATTTAGTGGATTTCACCTCAGAGATTGTGGCTTAGCACAGGACGTTTGCTGAGATAAGAAGGATTGAAATGTTCATGACTGCCGGTGCTGCAACGCCTCTTGTCCAGGCCAGAGATTGAGGCGGAATGGGAGTGACCGGCTGCGAACGCAGATTTCTCTCCATTTAGGTTTGATCCTATAGCTTTTATAGCTAAGACAAACCTTTTAAGGTAAATTTACTGGCGATAGCTGTCAAAAAGGAACCGAGTGCCGAGAATACAAGTTGAAGTAACACTGGCTTGAATAAACACGATTCACATTTTTTTCCCCAGTACATCATAGGAAAATAGGTTTAAAATGATCACACTGCAGCCACATTAACTTAAACCTTCGGCCACATTTTTTGTGTGTTATTTTGTTTGCCCCCTCCCAATATTTTTTATTTTTATTTTGTAGTTCATAGGTTTTTTTTTTTTTGGTTTGTTTTTTTTTTGACAATAGTTCGACATCTCTCCGATAACTGACGGTGTCAATCAAAACTGAGCCCTGTTGTCCTTGAGTCATAGTTTAACTCAAATTTCTGTTTGAGTTGAATCAAATTTTAACGTTGGCGTCGTGGTTCACTTGTCTGACGTCAGTTCCGCAGTGGAAACAAAGAAAGACACGATCTGATACAGGGAACGCCAGAAATACATTCTTGAAAGCTTACACACTTTATTTATCTTTGTTGAGTTTCAGACATGCAGCATCTCGATGCATGAAAAGTTTGGTGAGCTGCCAACGTTTAGAATGCGCCTAAAAATGGGCCGGAAATTCCAAGGAGGGAAAAACCACCGCTAAGGTGTATCAGAAAAATTCCAGAAGTGGTATCACAAAATATATATTTCAAACCCAAACTACAGGTTTTGCCCTTCAGTGTGAGCCAGACGATCAATCAGCACATCTTATGCCCGAGCATCTGACAGTTCCTGGCCTGGAAGAAAATCGCTGTGCTGGAGCGACCCTCGTACTCCTCCCACCCGGCTCCAAGCTGCCGATTGGATTTTAAAATAAATCCCTTGTGACACCAGTCCTGAAACCTCTCCGACACACCTCACATGCGTTGAAGAT